GGAGTTATTCTGAGCTGAGGGTGTGTGTGTGTGTGTGTGTGTGTGTGTGTGTGTGTGTGTGTGTGTAATAGCTTCCAGTTTCTTCTCATTATATTTATGCTTTCCTTTAAAATTCTTGAGTGCATTTATATCTATATTTACATTTATATCTACATTTATGCATCTATATTTATTTATTATAGTGGTCTGAGAGTTAATTTCTGCTAATTCCATAATTTTTGTTATTTCTGAGTCTGTTACTTTTGCTTTGCCTTCTTCCTGGTTTAATCACATTTTTTCACTTTTCTGCATTGTAATTTTTAATTGGAAGTTGGTGTACATAGTGAATGTTTCTTTGTTGAGATTCTAGATTTTTATTTCTTTGTTTCTTTTTCTTTCTTTCTTTCTTCATTTTTTGAGTTGAAGTCTCACTCTGTCACCCAGGCTGGACCTTGAGCTGCTGGGCTCAGACAATCCTTCCACCTCAGCCTTCCAAGTAGCTGGGACTACAGGTACATGCTGCCATGCCCAGCTAATTTTTTTATTTATTGTAGAGACAAGATCTCACCATGTTGCCCAGGCTGGTCTCGAACTCCTACACTCAGACAGTCCTCTCGCCTTGGCCTCCCAAAGTACTGGGATTACAAGGCATGAGCCACCGTGCTATGCCTGAATTTTTTTTTTAAGGAATGTTAATTAAGTAACTTGTAGATCAGCTTGATCCTTTTCATGCTTGCTTTGAGATTTTTGGGGATAAATCCAGAATAGCCTTTATTCTAGAGCTTGCCTAACCCTACTACAAAGGCATTGCTTATACAAAGGTCTCTACTGAATGTTCTAGTGTTTAAAATGCAGTAATTCTGTTTATAACTCCCCAGTAGAGTTTTTGCCTGGCTTCCTGGAATTGTATCCAGTTCATATACAGATTAGGATTCAGCAACAGATTCTCTCCCACCACTCTCACCCTCTGATCCTGCACATTCAGCCTTTTTAGTTTCTGATCTCTATATTCTTAACTCAGTGAGACCACCATGTTCTGCTTGGATTCTCCTCTAAGTGCCTCTAAGCAGAAAGCTGGGGAGAACATAGTCTCTGCCCAGTACTGTCCAATGTCTAAGAACAGCTGACTCTTATATTTTGTGAATTTTCTGATTGTTTACAGTGGGAGGGCATGTCTAGTACCAGTTATTTCAAGGAAATACAGTAAATGGGAGTTCTTTTTATTTGATGAATAGTCCTTTCAGACAACTTTGGTCTCTCCAGAAACCCCTAGTGAGACCTAAATGAGTCCTCATTCCCTTTAAAATAGTGTTCTCTTTCTCTTGAAGCCTTTTAAAATAAAGATACATCCAGAAAGTGCATCTTCGCATCCTCAGGCTCTATCTTTATTTAAGTAGGCTTATTTTTATACCACAATTTTGAATTATTTTCTACATTAGTAAGATTCAAAACAAAAAGATCCAACTCATAATGACGCATACTCCTTTTGTCATTCTTATTCAGTGCCTCTTAATTGTTTGATGTTTTTCTCAACTACATTATGGTACCATAAATTGCTCTAACAGCAAAGAGCAGTTGGAGTTCCTTCATTAGTTGTTAAGAAAATGGAAGGGCGGGGCTTGATGGTTTAGCCTGTAATCCCAGCACTTTGGGAGGCCGAGGCGAGTGGACTGCCTGAGTCCGCGGGTTCGAGTCCAGCACGAGCAACTTGGCGAGACTTCATCTCTACAATTAAAAAAAAAATTTAGCCGGGCGTGGTAGCACGCGCCTGTAGTTCCGGCTACTTGGAAGGCTGCGGTGGAAAGATCACCTAAGCCCAGCAGGTTGACGCTGGGGTGACCATGAGCATGCCAGGGCACTAGCCTAGGCGACAGAGTGAGACTCCAACTCAAAAAAAAAAAAAAAAGTGAGAGCTCAAATTGAAAGAGAGGTCAAAACTGCATAATGTTATTTTTATTTTTACTATTTCATATAACACTGGCTCAGATGTCCTTATAAAACTTAAGTAATTTTGATGCTTTAAACTAGACAGAAAACCACTGCAAGTGATTGTTAAAAATACGATTTTTAAATACAAGAAAAATTCAAGACCAAATAATTCTTAAATTTGCATGTTCCTATCTCAAGGGTTAATTACATTTCCTTTTTGGCAATTAAATGAATCTTCACAACATACTGAAGTTAAAGTGTAGATATATTTGCAGGCAGATGGGGATAGGAAGATGAAAATGGTCTATAATATTATGGCCAAGCGGTAGAAGTCTAGAGATAATCAGAGACTCTCTGCACCAAAAACCTTTTAGTCCTTTTGAGCTACTTGTTGAGTCTGATGAATTAAAGTGTCTGCAGCAAGCTTGTATACTATCAGTCCATTTTGCATTGCTATAAAGGAATACCAGAGACTGAGTAACTTATAAGGAAGAATGGTGTATTAGCTTACAGTTCTGTATGGGCCTGGCATCTGCTTAGCTTCTGGTTAGGCCTCAGGAAGCTTACACTCATGTAGAAGGTAAGGAGGGCCAGCATGTCACATGGCAAGAGCAGAAGGAAGAGAATTAAGGAAGGTGCCAGTCTCTTTTAATAGAGTGAGAACTTACTGCCAAGCCATTCTTGAGGGATCCATCTTCATGATTCAGTCACCTCTTACTTAGTAGGCTCCACCTCCAGCAGCATTGGGGATCACATTGCAACATGAGATTTGGAGGAGACAACAATTCCAACTATGTCACTAGCAAAAACTTAAATTGACATGTTTATCACTGTTGTGTCTAATTTTAAAAGTCTTGTATAGTAGTGCTAAAAAGACTTTTTCAACCACATATCTTTTTAACCATTATGTATATATTTTTTCTGAAGAGAATTAAAAAATATACAAGTATATTTATTTATCTTTTCCTGTATCGTTTCTGAGTTTCTTGTCATGCTTAGAAAATCTTTTCATACTCAAATATTATAAGAAAAAGTGTTCTGGCCTGGCACAGTGGCTCAAGCCTGTAATCCCAGGACTTTGGGGGCCAAGGCGAGAGGATTGCCTGAACCCAGGGGTTTGAGACCAGCCTAGACAACTTGGTGAGACCTTGTTTCTACAATAATATGAAAAAATTAGCCAGGAGTGGTAGCACGCACCTGTAGTTCCGGCTACTTGGAAGGCTGAGGCAGAGGGATCACCTGAGCCCAGCAGATCGACACTGGGGTGGCCATGAGTGTGCCACTGCACTCCAGCCTGGGCAACAGGGTGAGACTCCAGCTCAAAAAAGAAAAGAAAAAAAGTTCTCCTAGATTTTTCCTCACATTTTATGATTTAAATGTTTTTACATTTAAATACTTACCCGTCTGGCATTTATTCTTTCTCTTTTTTAACTTTGCTTTTATTGCGGTGAAATTGATATTGTACATAGAATTAACTATTTAAAGGGAGCAATTCAATGGTATTTAGTAAAGTTCAAAATATTTTTATTCTATTGTATTGTAATACCACAATTGTTTAATCCATTCATTCATTGATGAGCTTTTGGGAATAGTACTACTATAAACATGTATGTACAAATAGTTGTATGAGTACCTGTTTTCAACTATTTTGGATATATGCCAAGAGAGTAATTGTAGCATTTATTCTTATCTGAAGAATGAGATATCAATTTAGCATTTTTTTAAAAATGTTTGGCTAAAAGTCTATTCTTTTTTTTAGCCCCATTTCTTGTTATCTTTCCTTTACTAATTTGAGATACTTTCTTTATCATATACTAAATTCTCATATGCACTTGAGTTTATTTCTTAACTCTGTTTGGTTTGATTGTGCTGTTGATCAGTTTATATGCTAGTATGACAGGTTCTCCCCACCCCATAGTCATTTAATTACTCATTAAGTATTTAATAAGGAAAGTCTGCTTCCCATCTTCATGTTAATTCCCATCTCCAGTTATTCCTTTTGTCATAATTTTCCTTGTTATTTCCACATGTTTATTCCTCCAGGCAAACCTTTCATTCCTTTCCATCAATGACATTATAAACACTTAAGTGATATCTTCTTTTTTTTTTTTTTTTTAATTGGAGTATCACTCCGTCTCCCAGGCTGGGGTGCAATGGCACACTCATGGCCACCCCAGCATCCACTTGCTAGGCTCCGGCAATCCTTGAACCTCAGCCTTCCAAGTAGCTGGAACTACAGGCACGGGCTCAGGCAATCCATTCGCCTCAGCTTCCCACAGGCTGAACCACCGAGCCTGGCCAAGTAATATCTTCTTACTATCCAGATGAAAAATTACCATTTTAATTTGTACTTTTAAAAAATGGTCAAGAATCATAGCTCTAAATGGAAATGGGTGTTCATTGTATACTTTATTGCAGTAGTTAATCAATGACAATTTGGTAAGTGAGGTTTCACATCTTTAGGTGGACTGTGATTTGTTTTTTAGCTTTAAAATCTGAAGGAGATGATTACTACATTAATGGTGCCTGGACTATTGACTGGCCTAGGAAATTTGATGTTGCTGGGACAGCTTTTCACTACAAGAGACCTACCGATGAACCAGAATCTTTGGAAGCACTAGGTCCCACCTCAGAAAATCTCATTATCATGGTAAATGTGTTTTTGCCATCTTATCTCTTCTATCTGTAATTCCCCCTTGTGAAGTAGGAAGGGACAGAATTTATCATCTCTGTTATATAGGTGGTGAAATTAAGGTAAATGAAGGTAAAATGATTTGCCCAAGGGTATACAAACTGTGCAGAATTTAGACCACAGTGCTTTTTTCCACACGATTGTTTGATCTTTGTAATGCTTGCTTGAATATTTTTATAAGCAAGACAGATGAGAGAAATGACTTCAAACTACCCACGAATATGGAAGGAGAAAACTTGATATAAATGCATATGCTTAAAGTTATCTTTAATTTCCAAAAGACTTGTTTTAACTATTTCTTCTTCAAAAGAAATAATAAATATCTGAATGAAGGCTCATTGTATTTTAATTGTCTTCACCAGTTGTTTTCAATGGCAGGTTCTGCTTCAAGAACAGAATTTGGGAATTAGGTATAAATTCAACGTTCCCATTACTCGGACTGGCAGTGGAGATAATGAAGTTGGCTTTACATGGAATCATCAGCCTTGGTCAGAATGCTCAGCTACTTGTGCTGGAGGTAAGACACCCACTAGGCAGCCCACCCAGAGGGCAAGATGGAGAGTAAAACAATCTGAGCTACGCTTTGTGTTTGTTAAAGAAGCTAATTGGAAACATTTCTTGCAGGTTTGCTTCAAGCTGTAATTTAGCAAAAGAAACTTTCTTTAATTATATTACATTCCATTTGTTTTCAACCTCATGTAATTTGTGCAGATTTGTTGGTAAAATACATCTTGGCACAATGAGTGTCTCTGCTGGTGCTTCTCCCAAGACTATCTTGAAGGTGGGCTGATTGCTTTTCATGAACTCATTCTTGGTAAAGAACATCAAGTTGTAAATAAGAAAATGAGCAAGAATCAGACATCACAGATGCAACTTCTTGTAATGGGGGATGAGAATGTATGTCTGTGTGCTTGCGTGTTTGTGTTTGTGTGCTTGTGTTTCCCACAATCCTATTCAAACTCCCTTCTCCAGCCATCAAAGTTAAGGGGCTATGTACTGGGATGCTACAATAATTACTGGTGTCTGGATCTCTGGGTTTATGGTGTATACTGACCCCATTATAGTCCCTCAGAGAGGTAGCTGCTAGGCGATGGTTTGGTGATGTGTTGGTTGTCCCATGTGCGTTTTTCATGGGTGCCTTTTCCCTACAATTTACTCTATTCCTAATCCTCCTCCCTCTAGTGGCCACCAATGCAATTCTTTACCTCTGGCTGGGAGAGCAGGACAGTTGGCTTCCTTCAAAGCCAACACCCTTGCTGCTGCATGGACTGGTGAGTAGAAGTGCTGTGCAAGCAGCATCTTCCTTCTCTCTGGAGACTAAATGCATCGCCTCCACCGTACACCTTGATCCCAATAGGCAAGGAAACAAACCTATCTCTCGAGTCTAGTCTGGGCTAGAGCACCTCACCATTCCAAAAGCAAAGATTAAATTTTGAATAGTGATATTTAGAATGGGCAAAATTAAAGTCAATCATCCAGTGTATTATCTATATTCCCTTTCTAAACTGGGGGAAAACATAGTTTTCATCCTGTCTTGTCCTGTGCTTACTGCATTTCTAAACAACTCTGATTTTCAAGTCTTGAATCAGAGAAATTATTTAGAGAATTGACTATTATATAACCAATTCAGTATTTTTAGTCTCATACAGAATAAAAGCAATGATTAACTACAACTTCATATTCAGTACTAAAGACTATACAACATTAAAAAAAAGGAAAATGAATGATAATACAGCAATGTGAAGTGCCATGAAACATGGTTATGTATAATTTAGACATATTTTTAAAGATCTTTATTTCCCATCCTTTTTATGTGCAAAATGGCTGGTGATTTATAATGTAAAGTTTTTAAAACCATAAAGCATTACCATTTTTTAATAAATAAAAGATATTTGCAATTAATTAATCAAATGAATGCCATTGCATTATATTTAGGCATTTATACATATATCTTTTTTGGTTTCAATTCAGTTCCTTTTATTCGGTCTATAAATTAACTTTCCCCTTTCCACATACCAATAAAAAGTTTTTATTAGAAAGATACATATATAATCCAGGCCCTGTGATAAGGTGCAATAAACTTATTAAAGAAGAATTAAAATAATTTAAAGTTTAGGGAGCCTAATAAGGATAGTCTAAAATTGAGGTTGATTAGCTTAGAAAAAAGAAGGTTAAGGGGAAGCATATTCATATCTTCAAGTATGTGACAGAATGTTGAATAGGAAATTCTTAGTGCCTGTTCTTCTTTGTACTGAAATTGCTATATTTGGGGATGATTTAGACACAGTGTTGTCTGAGGCCAAGGAGGGATTAAGTGAATTCTCAGTGTTCCTTCAACCCTATGATTCTATGTGTTCAGTAAGGAGATAGTACAACAAAAAAAGAAGGGCCATGAGAACTAAATTTGGAGAAAAACTATAATTTTGTTGAAGTAAGAAAGTGAAAAATCTAGATAAGTATTATTCTTTTCCATAATATTTATATTGATAAATAGAAGTTATTTCTTGTGATAGGGATTTTCTTTTTTTTTTAAAGGAGAAAGGAAGGGAGAAAGGAAAGAAGAAAGAAAAACAGAGAGGGAGAAAAGCCCTGAAAGGAGGGTTTTCTCTTCCTTATTATTTATACTTTTTTCTTTGATCTGGAGCTACTGATCTTAGACATTTGAGGTGGTTCTGGAAACTCGGATTCTGCTTGGTTGTGAGTGATTATGAGCATTCATGAGGTCACTGCCTTCTTTGGAAGAGGGATATAGAGGGCATAGTGTGAAGAGCTGCCATTAGCCTTGGCAAGCAATTCTCAAAGTACTGTCTTAGACCAGCAGCATCAGTGTCACTTAGGAACTTGTTAGAAATGATAATTTGGGAGCCCCATTTCAAACCTACTGAATAGAAACTCTTCAAGTGGGGCCCAGCAATCTACGTTTTAGCAAGTCCTCCAAGTGATTCTGATGCTTGCTCAAGTTTGTGTACCAGTGGTCTTGGCTGACAGAGAAACTAAAACCTAGCACTCCAGACACATAGAATCCTTGTTCTCATCACTGAAGTCTGTGCTTCTGTGTAGATTCATTTTGCCTCAAGAACAATATCTGGAACATACTAGGTACTCGGTAATGTTTATAGACAAGTAAATGAGTGAAAGGAATTAATTTTGGCAATTATATATTTGTGCTTGAACTTTCCAGTGTGGGAAATGAGAGTTTAGAATTGCTAATTTTCTAAAGGAGTGGGGCAAAGCTACAATAATTTTGATTAGCATGGGTAAGTAAAACCAAGCTTTTCTCTTTTGTTCACTTTGAATAGGTGGAAAATATTTCCTGGGATGTAGAGTGCAAGTGTCAATGATTGAAGTTGCTCTTCCTACACATAAACCCCCACTTTTAACCCCAGGTTCTTTAAATATGGAAGCTTACAACTGAGAGAAGTAAAGTCTCTTAGGGCTCAGGAACCTTGATCCAAGAGAGAGCTAGAGTCAGTCAGCTTCTCCATAATGGTAAATGAAATTTCATCTACAGTTAAGGAATCTTTTAGGAAAAAGTCATTTTAACCTGTTTTTCACTCAGAAACTAAGGATGCATACTAACATCAGTTCTTAATTGGGATACTCCACTTTTATCTCTCCACTGAGGTGCTGGGTATCTCAAGGCTGTCAATTTTTTTTTTTAATTTAAAAAAAATTTTTTAACAAGATAGATCTCAAAGAACTTTTAATGGCAGCCTGCAAGTTTCTTCAATGTTCTTATCTGTTACTGTCCTGGATATGTTTTATTAATGGCAAGACCTTTGGACTTTTATTGAGTTTGGGAGCAATAATGATAGCTTTCTCTTAGAGATCTTTTAAGATAAGAAGTTTGAGGCTGTTCTTCTGTTGCTTAGCAAATCCAGTGATAAATCTAATGTTGATTGGTGATCCAGTCCAAGTAATGGTCTTTTCTCTGAGTCAGTAATGGAATACTTCCTTAGCTTGATTAGGAACATTAAGAGGCTATGGGGTATTGTCTTCAGGATAAATGTGATTTTTGAGATTCAGCTGCAACTATTCCTCAGAGAGAAACTCAAGCTCAAAAACTTGACTATTTCAGAACCATTGTTACTCCTACTAGAGTTTGTTTCCGTATTCCTTACCTAAAGTATTGTATATACACTGTAATCAATCTGACTCCCAAATTCATATGCTACCATTGGATTAGTGACTATAATAGTGTGTTAATAAATTTTGGCTGTATAGTGAAAGTTGTATTGTTTAAAATACAAACCTTTAGGTGTTTTTTAAAAGTACCTTTGCACTGTGAATTTTAAAGGTCCAAGTAACAAATACTGTATATTCATCCTTTGATTTTATCATACATACTCTCCTTGTACTGATGTTTAGCTAGATGGGGTGGTTCTCAAATTTAACTACACATCAGAATCACCTGGAGACTTGTTAAAACACCGATTGTTAAGTTGTACTTCCAGTTTCTGATTCAATAGATCTGGGGTGGCTCCAAGAATTTATATTTCTAACAAGTTTCCAGGTGATGCTGGTGCTACTGGTTTAGGAACCATACTTGGAGAAACTCTGCATCAGACACTTAGATTTCCTAAAGTAAATGGCCTATTAAACAGTGACAAGTCTTTTATCTAACAATCCACCTTACAATTGTAATCCACTTTATCACTAGTCTTTTTAATGACAGGTTGTTCCTCTGCTCACTTATGTAAGAATAAATAAAATTGTACAGTTTCTTAAACATTTTCTGGTACCCTGTTTCATTTGATTGTCTTCAGTAGCCATATGAGATAGGCATTTCTATTATTATTCCTGTTTTATAGATAGAATTCAAGTAAAGTAACTTGCTGAAATCAAGACCCAGCAATTGAGTCTCTAGTGAGCTTTTTAATATAGCATTTTCCCTCATAATAAAAACGGCCCTTTACCTTGAACAGAGCTTTTTCACCAGTTGGCAACCTCAGTAGAGAAATATGATATATCCCCCTCATAAATATTTCCTTCACTAGCTTGAAATTTCATTTTTTCAAATGCTTTCCTTAGAGCAGTGGTTCTTAATTTTGGCCACACATTGAAATACCCAGGAGAACTTTAAACAATTATGATGCTTGGGCCCCAGACCCAGAGAGTCTTATTTAATTGGTTAGGGGTGTGGCTTGGGCATCAGGTTTTGAAAAAATCCCTTGATAATTCTAATGTACAGCTGAGGTTTAAAAGTACTGTCTGTGAAACTGACAGAAAGTTTTAGTCTTCAAAAAATTGACATGTACATGCAAAATAGCTCTGGGAGCATTACTAACACACATCTTTGTTTTTAAGTGTCTACTAGTTAAATGCAAAGTTAATGAAATTTAGAAATGAGTAGCTAGGGTGGGAAAGTAGAGAAGGGGCATTGGAGAAGGGAAATAAAGAAGTAGGAGCATGCCAATTGACTTCATAATTTGGTTTAATGTGGCCATTGGCCTTGGACATGCCTTTATTTTGTAGCTCAGTTTATTCGCACTCTTTTTTCACCTAATGGATCATTTA